ATCTAGAAAGCTTAGCAGTTCGTGCCCTGCTGTTGCATCGATGAGTTGGTCGATATGGGGCAATGGAAAAGAATCTTTCGGGAAGGCCTTATTTAGGTCTGTGAAATCAACGCACACCCGCCATTTCCCGTTTTTCTTTTTTACCATGACTACATTTGTAACCCATTGGGGATATTTCGATTCTCGGATAGAACCGTTGATGAGTAGCTTATCGACTTCAGCGCTGACAGTCTCATTTATTGCGGTATTGAATTTTCTCCTCATCTGTCGCACCGACAAATATAGTGGGTTGATATTCAGCTTATGCGTGGCGATGTCATTCGGAATGCCTAGCATATCTGAATGGGAGAAGGCAAACATGTCGGCATTGTTAGTTAAAAATTTATGGAATATACCTGGTTCTGAGAGATTATGTCCGATATAGGCCTTTTTTTTGCAATCGTTGCTATCTAGTTAGACGAGGTCAAGATCCTCGATGGTAGAGTCGACGGCCTCTATGATTTTAGGATCTTTGATAACATCTGTTTGCGCGTCGGGTTTGGTTCCTGACGCTGCTAATTGTTATGATTCCGCGTTTGCTCCCTTTAGTTGATGGGTGTGTGCGCAATCTTGGGCGATGCGATAACATTCTTGCGCGGTGCGTTGTTCGCCTCGTATGTTAAATATTCCCCATGGAGTAGGGAACTTAATTACCTGGTAGAGACTTGACGGGATGGCTCGCATGACGTGTATTCATAGTTGCCCTATAATGGCGTTGTAGGCTGTGTCTTAGTCCATGATGTGAAACGTTGTTTCCAGGGTGACTCCCCTAGATAGGACAGGTAACATTATTTCTCCTGAAGCTCATTTGACTGCATTATTAAAACATGTTAGTGTTATGAAGCGCAGTATTATTTTACCTTCGAGCCCTATCTGTACGAGGACTCGAGGATGGATAATACACGTGTCGCGTCCTTCGTCCACCATTATTCTTTTTACATCACTATCTGCAACGCATAAAGTAATAACTAAAGCATCGTAGTGGGGGAAAGACAAACCGTCGGTATCTAACTTATCGAAGACAATACTATCTTCGAGGTTGTCATACCGTTCGTAAGTGATCGACCATTTAAGTTTGCGTGTAGTGGTGAATTTCACATGGTTGATTGTTGTCCCGTCACCTCCACCAATGATCATTTGTATGGTGCGAGCTGGAGAAGGTGGTTCTGGAGGTCCCTGGTGTTGCTCGCGTCTGCGGGCGAAATTGGCTCGACCTCGGTCGCTCATCAGTTCTCTCAGGTGTCCCTGATTTAGCATCCTCACCACCTCCTTCCGTAGACCTATGCAGTCCTCAGTTTTATGACCCCGTTCCCGGTGAAATTCATAGAGGTAATTTAATTTTCGAGTACTTAGATTGGACTTCATCTTCTGCGGCCATTGTACCTTCACGTCGAGCTTCTCTAGTGCATACACTATTTCTGAAGGAGAAACACAAAAATTGTGAGCAGATAAAAGTAGAAGCACCTCTTTCATTTCGCGGTGTCGTGGTATGTCGAGGAGGGCCATCCATGTGCCACGGGGGGTGTGTGATGGTTCCTCTGATGTAGGGCTGGTGTCTCTCTCGATCGAGACGGGGACCCAGTTGGTCCCTTCGACCATCATTGCGTCGATCTTTCCTTGCCTCTACTTGAACTGATGTCAGCCGTTGGTTCGGGCCATTAAGATCGTCCTTATCGGCTCTCACCTCGGCGCAATAGACGTTGTGAATTTCTTCCCAAGTGGTGGGAGGATATTTCATGAATCTGCTTACTAGCTTTCTGGTTGCTCTTGACCCGTTTCTGCTCAATCTGTTCTGAAAGGCTACTACCGTCATCCCTTCCGATACATTCGGTAGGCTCATTCTCACCCCGTTAAACCGGGCTAGGAAGTCCCTGAGTCCCTCGCCAGGTGTCTGCCTGACGGTGAATATGTCGTTTACCCTGGCTTCTGCCTTTTTGGCCCCTGCATGGGCGGTGATAAACTTGTCTACCATTTCTTCGAACGTTGCTATTGACCGTGCCGGTAGTTGTGAGTGCCAGGTTAGGGCTCCCCCTGTCAGGGTTTCGCCAAACTTTTTCAGTAGCACCGACAGTACTTGCTTTCTCGAAAGATTGTTGCCTTTTACCGTTGTGACGTAGTGAACGATATGATCTTCTGGGTCTGTAGTACCATCGTATATCTTCAGGTACAGTGGCATTTTGAAGGTTTTAGGAATGGCATGGGGGGCTTCTTCCTCATTGTATGGTTGTTCGATGAATCGGCCAACGTCTCGTTTTGGTAACAACTTTGGGGCGCCTGGTATCTTATCAACCCTTTCTTGATGCTCCTTCAGCTGGTCACGGAGTGCCTTATTTTCATTTTCCATTTCCTCCACTTTCTTTAGAATGGATGTGAGCGCGTCACTACCTGCATCAACAATAGTATGGGTGTTACCAGTTCGGAGGGCATCTTGCTCGTCAGTGTCTGTCGTGATTTCTACGTGTGCAACATCCCTGTTCTCCCTTTGGGTGGGTTTGTCAAGTATGTTGTTCCAAGTGCTTGTTAGCCATTCTTCCAGTAACCCTTTCACCACCAGTGGAGCCTCTTCTGTCAATGACGTGGAGGCTTTCTTTTCACGTGAAACAATAACGCTTTCGGGGGGGAAGCATTTCGCCTAAGCGTAGTGCTTGGCGTCACATTTTCATTGTCCTCCCTGTCGTCTTCATTGATAGTATTCAAAATGTTGGCGGTGACATCTGCTATCACTTTCAATCTCGCATCTCTTTTCCCTGCCATTGTTAGTTTATGCAAAGCTAGGAAAAGATGGCTATGTATTCCTTTCTATGATCTATATGAAACTATGATTTCAACTAAAGAAATCCCCACAGACGGCGCCAAATTGTTTGACCGAAAGATGTCAAAACCTTTATGATTAAAACAAATAATGATAAAGATGGGGTCAATCTTAGTTAAACACAATAAAATCTAGATCAAGCGATGGAGAGAGTAAGCAAAATGAATGATGTAACAAATATGTTGGAATCAAATGAATGCTCGTAAATGTGAAGACTTAAATGCACAATCAAGCTTGAAAGGTGCAATCGGCGTTAAAGAGGGAATAAATATGAGATGATTGGGGAATCTTTTTATCTTCTCAAATAAACAAGTCTGCTTTTGTATTCACTCTCAGAGGATTCTTTTACAAAGTGTTCTTTTTTCTTTTTTCCCGTCTCTCCTTTTTCTTTACTCACTCTTCCTATTTATAAGGGACAATCTCCCAAAAAACCCTAGAAAGTACAAAATAGAGAATATTCGAAAGGCATATTCTTGCTGTCTCCCACTAAGTTTACACTGTTGTGGATGTTATGCATTGATTGACTGCCCTCAATCGTTGCCTTTCACCACGACGACCACCAGACGGTGCATCATGATAACCTCGTTCCTTGTCCTACTTGGTAATGGTCGTGGTTGTCAAATTTGGACTCATACACTTCCCATGTTATTTGTCACCCTAATCGACCGAGGAAAGGCGAAAAAGACAAGAAACAAGACATGATTAACATCGACATTTTCGTCTCTTTTGAATTTTTGATGAAGCTAGTTCACCCCCTTTCTCAGTTTTGACTGTCCTCCAAATTTAGCGTTTGGACTCGAATGGCACAAATTTCCAAATGGCTACACACAAATGATCAATCCGTCTTTCTTTCCATTAATAACATCACCCTATGTTTGCAAGTACTAAGCTCTTTTCTGATGTCGTAATCCCATCTTGATTTCGATGGATTTGTTTTCATTGTCTTCTTAATTGGTAATCAATACTCTATTATACTCCTTCATTCTATTTTATATCTTTTAGTTTGACTGCGCATCAAATTTAATAATGTAAATAAAACTTTTAAATTTGTGATTTTACACTAAATATATATACTATAACATATCAAAACTCAAAAGTACCTTTGAATCTTGTGATCCTAAACATATTTTGCCTTTCCTATAGAATTGTGTCATCAAGGGTAAATGAGAATATTGGATTTAAGAGTAGTTAATTATAACAAGAGACATTCTTAAGAAAAATAAACTAAAGTTTTGGAGTACAGATTTGCATACACTTGGCATGAATAGATCGTATATATCTTTTTCTCCAAATGCTCAAGTTCACTTCGCTTCTTTGTTTATCCTTTTCTTCTTTTATTTATTTTGATAACAACGAAATATATGGACCACAGTAAGCAGACTTGAGCCTCAAGTTGTTTTGGTTCACGAAATTTGAGCTGCAGAATTCATATAGAAATCCCTCTCCTCCTCCAAGTAGCAATCATTCATTTATTTTCATACTGAATATCTGTCAGTGGCAAATATTGCTACATAATTAAGGTGAAGCCAAAGGAACCTACTCTCCCACCAATTTAATGCTCAAATTACTTGGAGTTATTATTGGAGCGTGTTGACTATGTACTTCTTGAAATGGTCAAACACCACCTTAGGAATGAAACTCAGTAAGGAATTAGTCAACCCTTAAAACAGAAATTGTCTTTTCTACCAAGAAAGTCTAAGTCAACACCCTTGCAAAAATTCTGGTTCAAGCACTAGCTGATTATTTTTTGGAAGAAAATTTGACTAGTGGGAGCCAAGCAAACCTAAAACAGACACAAAACACTTTAGTCAATGATATATTCAACTCTATTTGCTGCTGGAAACCAACAGAAGGCGAAAAACTTATCATGATTTTCTCTCTAGAATTTTTTTTGGCATAGCTAATAGGAGCATGATATATGTTAAAACTCGTGTAATTCTTAATTTAAGGGGTACGGTACTCTAAGCTGAGGTATATTACTATCAGATCAGTTAGCACCACCAACATATGAAAAGGCAAACAGGAGAAGAAATGATATATTCAGCTCCAGCTCTAGTATGTTTTGCATTTTGGAACTTCAAATTTCTGCTTTACTCTACCCTCAATGACAATGTGCCCCCTGGTAGCGAGTAGTGACATGAACTTTCAGTTAAATACTATAAGAAGCATCCACATTTGATCTAATAATTAATACAAAATCATCCCATATAATAAATACAACACGATGCATCAAAGGTAACTATAATAAAATGTAAACAATCCAAACTCTTAAGCATAAAGGTGTAAACAAATAATGAGGCTATTAAGTGAATTATGCAGCTATAATTGCATGCCTTCTACGCTGCAAATAATCATGGAGTTCTTGATATCCACTTCTGTAATGCTCCAGTGAGAAACATAGTTGCCGTATAGCCTCCCTTTTCTCCTCAGCTCTATCTGAGATTACCAATGTTTGTCTCTCCACTTCCTTCTGCAACTCCTCCACTCTTAGCCTTAATTCCTCTATTGATCTCTGTGCACTTTCAGATCCTGCAATAAGCTGCTTCAGGTGATCCTTCATTTCTTGGATTTGAATGTCTCTTGACATCACTTTTGCACCAAGTCTCTGTACCTTAGCATTAACCTCATCTTTCTTTGTCATTAGTGTGTCATACTCCAGTTTAAGCTTGTAGAGATCTTTATTCAAACCATGGACTTCTTCACCTTTCTTATTTATCTCCATTTTCAAGCATTCAGTTTCAGCCTTCCATTTGATTTCTTGTACTTCATGCAAAGTTTTCATTTCAATCTTCTCAGCTTCACACTGTCTTGCCTTACGTTCTAATGATCTGTTTTGCATCTCTAACTGTTCAGTCTTTGCCTCTAGCAGGGTCTGCTGTTCTGACAAACTAGTTATTTGAGACTGGAACTGCTCTTTCTGCCCGCAGAAGCTTTCTTGGGCGTCCTCTAGTACAGCACTGATTCTCCTGATCTCTTGGTCACGATCTGATATGTCAGCTTTGTTCCTCATAATGCTCTCCTGTAGTTCCAAGGTATGCCTTTCCTCAGAATCAAGCTTGGCCTTCAGCAAGATTAACTCTTCCTGAGTTGATTCAAGCTGATCAGCCAAATAGCAAGTGTTCTCGGTGATCACTTTTGAACAGTCATCCTTTAACCTGGCAACTTCTTCCTCTGACGCCTCAAGCTTATCTCTAGTCATTTCCAACTCACTCGCCAATTCCTCAATCTTGTAATCAGAGTTTGATATCCGACTTTCTAGAAGAGCTACTTGCTTTTGTAGTTCTTGGATCTTTCCTTTGTCCGTTTCGAGATCATCCCATAGCATCTCAACCTCACTTTCTGCTGAACTAAGCTGCACTTTCAGGAAAACTATCAGCTTGGCAACTGATTCATTTCTCTCAAGCTCATATTTCAACCCCTGTAGCTCTTCTTCTGAGAAATGGATTCTTTTGCTTGAAACACTGATCTCATGTTCATGATCCAGGATACTGTTCAGCACCATTTCATATTCCCTATCTTCTCTATGGGCAATTTGGTTCTTGCTTGGCGGTTTGGTCCCCATGTCCAAATAGTTGCCTTGCAATGTCATTTGTGCCCCACTTGAGGCCAATTTTCGGTGCCCATCAGGAGATGAGCTGTATGATTCTAAATCAAATTCTGGTAATAATGATGAAGAATCAAAACCTTCCTTGACAGATATATCAGAAGAACTACAGCAAGAGCTCGCAGATGAGTTAGAAAGAAGAGCCTGATCTGCACCTTCATTATGAACCAATTTCTGGTTTTGAGTAAGCAGGGAGGAATCATTCTTAAAAAAAGCAGCATCTTCAGAACGCTGCACTGGAAGGGAAGCTGGACAGAGATCTTCATTTAGTTGAAACTCACCTGTCTGAGCAGAATATTCTACATCTTGTTCAATCAAATTCTCCATTTTCTTGACAACTGTTTGAACACCTGCATTTATGTGATTTTTTTTAGCCTTTTCATGTGCTCCAATTTTAGTCATAAGATGAGTGATAAAAGAATTGCTACTCTACCCAAGATCATTGTCCAGCTGTTTGCAATTTTAACAACTTACTAAGGCATTCGAATCCAAATTATGGCAAGACATGAAGCACACTGTAAAGGAGTTATTTGAACCCTATCATTCTTTTTAAATTAGGGAATTAACCCATTATGAGGCTACATAACATCAATAGTTTCAGCAAAGCAATCCAAGCTTTCACGGAATGTACCATCTTTGATATATATCATTAAAGTTTATGACATTAAAGAAATGATTCAATTGGCAAACACCAAAAATATAAGATGTAGAGAAAAAAATCTTTTATTTTTTCTAAAAAACATGTGAAACAGAGATAATCACAAAAGCAAGCAGTGAATAAACAGAATGAACTAAGATTGCTTAGAAGATTAAGCAGAGTGTGAAACTAGAAGCTTTCGAGACTCATACTGCATTGACTTCAGGTAGAAATGAGTTACTTTAGTGACAAAGAACGACGTAGTAATCATGTTCAAAATTAGATTGTGTAGAACAATGATCAGAAAAGCATGTAGTGTCAACTCCATTAACATAATCCATCAAAGGTCAAACAGATACTCTCAATGCTCAATATGACAGAACCATTAAGCACATAATACAGATCATTTTTCATATGTAATGACAGAGTTCACCATGATTTCCAGTGGGAGCAACTTGAAACGAAGCAAAATGAAGTACGACTCCAATTAATAGCTCAACAGTTCAGGAGAAAGTCGTCGTATTTGATCACATATTCGTGCATCATAGTGATCTGCAATTAAGCTCCCCTTGAACATTATCTCTCCCTTAACCAAGAACGTCTATAGATATCTAACCAACAAAACCAAAAGAACACTTCCTCCATTTTAATTTACATGATAATGTTTGACCAGCACAGAATTTTACAATACTCACTTTTTAATTACTTATGTATTAAGGTAGTGGTAGTGGAAAAAAATAATTATATTAGTGATAGTGCGAAAAAGATTAATAGAACATATTGAAAAGTTAGTTTGAAAGAGAAAACATCATAATAGAGTAGAATTTACGTTAATGGATTTGAATTCTTAGAAGATCTGAAAGTTGATAAAAATAGAATAGTGTCAAACATTTTGGAATAGCCTCAAAGTGTCATACAAATTGAAACATATCGAGTAATTCCTTCTACCATAAATGGTGGAGTAGAAGTTTATGGATCGAACATATATGATATTACACTTCGACAATGAAGCTTAATTATATCTGAATCTAAGTTGCTCGGACACGGGTGTGAGTGCCTGACACAGGTACGGATCTAGAGGTCGGATCTTTCGAGATGTAAATTCTAAGATTCGGGTATACAGGGATCCGACTAAAAATAATTCAAAAAAATAAAAATATAAAAATATCTTTAAATTATGAGAAATTTTGTGGAATACTTATGTATAACTTGTAAAGTGTGAATTTCTTTTTTATTTTCAAGTTGTAGATAAGTAAAGAAGTGATTTTCTAGATAAGGTATGCTATTTTCTTCAAATTTACCCTAGTTTTGGTTCTAATTTCGGGAATCAAATTATATCTTATCTCGAATTTTTTCGTCCGTCGTGGTCAAAGTAATCAAAATCGTTTGACCAGATCCTGTATGGATCCCATACCCACATCCACACTAGTGTCGTATCGACACGGGTGCGGCACCTAAACTGCCATGTGGGAACAACTTAGATCTGAATAAACTAAAGTTCTAAAGAGTAATCTTCTATCCTAGAGGCTATGTATGTATTTTCCTTGTTCTTATACCATGGGAAAGTACCTCTGCCAACATTTTCCCCCCGTCTCATTGAGTCACCACTCCAATTTAGCGGCTTCTATCAAATTTATGAAAATGGACAAAAGTAAACTATGAATCAACTACATTTGCACTATTACTCTTGCAATTTGGCAACTAAAGCTCGTGTTTAGAGATCTCAAGTGGAGAGTAACGAAATGTTTATACGCCGGAAGGGTGTTTCGTCACATAACATGGACTAATGAGAGAAGACAGAAGCAAATAGAGGAATAAAAGAAGATAGAAAATCGAAGCAGAAAGAAGAAAAAAGGAAAAGAAAACAAAGAGATATTCAAATTGAATCAATGCAAAAGAAGATACCGAAATATAAGTGAAACAGAAATACTGTACAGAGAAAACCACAGCAAGTAAACAACTCAAAAACACGGAACAAACAGAAAAAGAAAAACCATAAATAAATGAAGCATGAGGCGTTGTAGGGATGAAACATACCTCGAATTGAGCGAAGAAATGCGACCTCAAAAGAGAAACCCCCAAATTTGCAACTGATAGAAAAAGGAAGATGGATTTGAGAATTGAAAAGATTGGGAGTGAAAGTGAGAAATACTAGCTGGTTTGTGAGGATTTTTAAAAGACAAGTAGAAAAGGGTGAGAAGAGGTGGAGTCCACCACAGAACACGACAATGACTCGGAGGCGGGAAAAGTATCTCAATTTCCGGCCTCTTTGTTTCCCCCCTTTTCTCTTTCTATTTGTCCCTTTCTTTCATTTTCAACATTCTTTTAACGATTTATTTACTCAAATGTTCTTTGATTTATGTTTACAACGGTTTAAACAATTAATCAAGTATCCCTTTTCGCTTAATACAATTTAACTACTCTTTTAGTCCTATGAGTGTCAGACTATTTTAATTTTTAAGTTTTTTGAAATAAAATATTTAAAAATTACATAAGATGAACTAAACTCATAATAATTAACAACTCAAAATATTTTATAGTTGTATGTGCGGTCAAAGAAATATTCTTTTGATTCTCCAAATAATAATCTCGGCATGTAGGATAACAATCCTAGCTTGAGAAATCAAGTGACAAAGTTACTTCTCCAAAATTCTTTTTCCCAAGTCATTTAAAAAGGCAAAGTTTAAGTTGAAAATAAAAGTTTTTCCTATTACAAAATTAAATGCATATTTTATATTATATCCAATTTATTTTCCTAAATGGTCAATCAACTTGATGAATTTACCTAGCAAAGTTATTTTTTCTTTGTTTTAGGACAAAAAAGTCAATAAAAGTATTCATTTGTTTCTCCAAAAGTTATATACCCTGTAAAACCCACTTTTTATATGAAAAGATAATATATCTGTTCTGAAATGTCACCTGAAGATGACGCAAAGCAGTTTTCTGTTTTTTCGGCGATAGCTCGAGACGTGCTAAATATGTCAATTTCAACAATTGCATCAAAAAGCGCATTTTACCAAACAAGGCAGCAACTAAGAGATACTGTCGAGACCCAAAATTTTCACCATCAGGACCGTGATGGTGCCTAACATCACACTCGCTAAGCAAGTCAATGTTAGAGTTTTATTGACCATTTTCCTTTACATTTCATCGATTAAAATTTAACAAGCTAGAATAAATAGAATTAAATGCGGAAGTAAGTAAATAATCTTTTTGTCCATATACTATTACCAATGTCATTGCCATTACTACCCAATATTCGGTGTCACAATCTACGAACATACTATGATTTTCTACAAATATCGATCCGAAAGAAATTACATCTATTTTGGAAATAAAAAAATAATAATATAGAGATGTAGAAGGGGATGCCAGGGCCTGTGGGCGCTAACAGGACTACCTTGGGTCTCCTAACTTTGTAATCTGAAGCCAATCTCTCAATCAGCCTCTACTAGCTCCAAAATCTGCATAGAAAGTGCAGAGTGCAGTATCAGTACAACCGACCCCATGTACTGGTAAGTGCAGATCCTAACCTCGACGAGGTAGTGACGGGGCTACGGCAGGGCAATTACAATTTAACCTGCATACAGTGTACAATAAAAGCAGAAAGAAAAACAGAACAAAATAAAGCAGTAACTTGCAAGGAATGAATACAGAACTCAAGTATTTTTATCACTATCCAGCTATAACCAATCCTTAAGTGAAATGTAAAACTACAGAATAACTTGCACAGTAGAAGAAAGATACATAAACACATAAACTGATGCTGCGCGCATCCCGATCCCACCATATAATCAATATCAATATGAATATCCATCCTTATTACTCCATATCAATCCATCCTTATTCCTCCTGTCGCGGCGTGCAATCCTATACCACCGTATATTAGAATTTCACCCTTATTCTCCTCAATATATCACCCTTATTCATCTTGTTGTGGCGCGCAACCCGATCCCACCATATCAGTATCAATTATTCAATAAGTACCAAAATTTCACAATTTAACTCAACTCCCCATAATATTTAAACCTCAAACCAAAGCAAACAGAAAGCTTGTACATTATGAAACGTTACACAATTAATACTACTCAGCGAAATCAAATCCAAATTATACCCTAGAACACCGATAAACCAACTTAAGCCAACAGTATGAAATGATGAAACTACGACGTAGCTAATACCTTCAACAATGGAAAACAATGTCTGACAAGTAGTAATTAAGCATGAAAATAACAGTATAACATGTAGCAGTTAAGGTAGGGAAGACAATATAATAAGAACGGGAAGAAAACAGGTAAAACAGATAAATTGGCAGCGCATAGATACTCGTCACCTCACCCATACGCCACTCACATGGATTTTCATATAGCAATTAAGTCAAGGGTTCCTAATCCCTCGAGTCAAAGTTAGACACGTCACTTACCTCGATCCATAGGCCATTCACTGCTCAATTACCGCTTTTCCTCTAGATTACACCTCCAAACCACTCGTATCTAGCCATAATTAACTTGATAACATCAAATATTGCTAAAGAAATCGATTTCAATACATAAAATTAGGTTTCCCAACATTTCCCCCAAAAATTCAAAAATCGATCCCGGGCCCGCTTGGTCAAAACTCGAGGTTCGAAACAAAACTCATTCACCCATTTACCCTCAAGCCCGAATATATAATTAGTTTCGAAATCCGACCCCAAATCGAAGTCTAAATTCCAATTATACAAAAAAACCTAATTCTACCCAAACCCCCAATTTCCACCATGAAAACTCTAGATTTTAGGTTGAAAATTCATGAAATGTAATGGGTAATTGAAAAAAAGTAGTTTGGAATCATTTACCAACACTTTGGGGAAGAAATTGTCTCTTGAAAATCGCCTCTAAGTCTTCTAATTTTTAAAAATATGAAAGAATAGCTTAATCCCGTATTTGAGTTCTGTTTTAAAAGGCTAGGTAGGCCTTCTTCGCGTTCGCGAAGGGCCTACCGCGTTCGCGAAGAGTGTCACACCTCCTTTTTACCTACACCCCCGGAAGGGTATAAGGGAGTTTTTCCAACTTAAAGTGATAATCGAAACAGGATTTATTTATTTAAAATCATTTAGAGTCGCCACTTGGGATAATTATGGTGTCCCAAGTCACCGGTTCAAATCCCGAGTCAAGAAAAAGGTTGACTCTATATTACAGTCTGCGAACACAGAAATCCGGGTAAGAAATTCTTTTAACCCGGGAAAAGGTGTTAGGCATTCCCGAGTTTCGTGGTTCTAGCACGGTCGCTCAACTGTTATAATTGGCATATTATCTGATTTTAGTACATGTTTAAACCTATGTGCAAATTTTAACTTAAACCGCTTTTATTTATTTTTTAAAGAAAATTGCAACGTTATTAAAATACGTCTCGAACCACGTCACATAAATGCACCCGTGATTTTGACATATTTTAACATCGTTGAGATTTGAATTTGGGTCACATAAATGCGCATCCGAATTTAAGAATGTAATATTATTAAATTAACGCGCCTAAAGCAATTACGAATTTGCAACTTTGCGAGTGCCATGGAAAATTCGCTAAATCGCGCGCCTTGATTTCTAAAAAATAAACAAGTTAATTAAACGAGGGCCGTGCATTTAAGAATTTTGTTTGTCATGGCACACCTCGAATTTCCATACAAAATGTGTGACAAGAAACCAATAACGAGCATCACCAAGCAAAACAGAGTTGAGTCACTGAAACTTGATACACGAACTTCAAACAAGAATAATAGGGAATTGTGGCAAAAAATAAATAAATAATGGCACACCAGTTGATCTCCAATTTTCTCACTACTGCACAATCAACTAATAGCAAATAATAAGCTAAGAACTATGAGCTGCTAATTTACATGTAAGACACCGTACAACTTAACACATTAAATACTAAAAATAAGTAATCCAGTGCGCTAAATACTATGCTAAATGAAAACAAGGAAAATAAATTTCTTATCACCTCAATTTAATATATATCCAATGATGAGTTCAAAACAGTAGCACCTAAAGTTAATTTAAAAACCAAACTTTAATTCATGAGCTTCAACCAAATGACAACAAACTTAAACATACTCCAAAAAAACAATCGGCACATGCTGTACAGTTGTTTAAGCTAAAGCAAAAGCTAAAGCTAAAGTTAAAGTTAAAGCAAAAACAAAAGCAAAAGCAAAAGCAAAAGCAAAAGGGTACTATTATTTTAGTCGCTTTTAATATTTCGGAAAAAATTCAAAGTTATTTAAAACACGTCGTAAGCACGTTACATGAAATGCACCCGTGAGTCACGACACATTTTATTTAACCTTGTTGGAAATTAGAACCTCAATGAAAGTAAACTAAAAAAAAATCTGTTTCCTAAGCCAAGCCGTTAAAATTTAGGTCTAAAATGCAAATCAAATAATATGGCAAAGAAATATTAAACATAGAATGTTCTTGAAATTAGCTCTTCAGCCTGAAAACGACTATGCGGTAAACTCGGAATCTTCACGTTTTACATTCAAGAATTCAATTTCTAATCATTATTAGTGAATATATGGTTAATGGACGAATCTATGTTATTACTTTAAAAAATAATAATTAAGTACCAAGATAATTAAGTTACAATTAAAGCTAAGATGCACCACATTTCTAAACTTCTGAAAATGTTCACGAAAATAAATCCAAAATGGGCTTCAAAGCCTTGGCCTAACAGTGTCATATGAAATGGATCAAGATCACAGTAACAATATCCCCAAACTTTGAATAATACTTTTAAAAAATGTCACATGCTTTCAACTAAGTTATTTCCATATTTCCAACAGTCCAAAATTAAATACAATGGTAAGAATTCAACTGTTAGAATCAGAAATTAACTAGGACATTCAGTGAATCTGGAAATGAGACATAATACAATGTAGAAGATTGAATTATAGACAGATAAGTTGATGCTATACTTTGAACTCCATTTTTCATTTCATGCTCCAAATTTTTACTTCACGTCTAGTATAGTCCAAGGATATGTACCTGATTACAGCAATCAAAATAAGGACAAATGAGCTTGCAGTTTAAGAAGAAAACAACAGCAGCAAGACAGTAGCAAGCGCAGTGATCAGCAACAGAGACAACCAAGAAAACTAGCTTTAAACCAAGCAATGAGGTGCAACAATCAACCAAGCTCGACCAAACTTCAAACCAAGCTTTTAAAACACCAAACTCAAATCCTTTCAACCCAAATAGATCAGAAAACT